ATACAGACTCAATCTCTCGCTCTTCGCTACGGGTGACCAAAACTCCCGGATCAAAGGAAGTTTGGATCAGTTGATATATCCACTTTTTCCCGCAAAATTGCTTGTAGGGGTCCAAATCAAAAATGAAATTTTTCGGAGGGGGCCGCATTGGCGAATTCGGTCGGGAGGGGTGCTAGTCTGAAAAAAAAAAATCTCCAGATTTGAGATGGCCTCTCTGTAATTTAGTTGTGCAAGAGGAAGCCTTCCTAAAAAGGTTTGTGAGAGGTCATATTTCTCACATACATTGTATTTATCAAAATATTTTACTTTACAACTCGCACATTAATTTCCACGCGACTCTATTGGCTACTTTAAGTCACATGGTACAAAATCACTGGATAGTTATCCTACAATAACCCCCATTTACGTTGATATTTGTCCTCCTTTTTTTCCTTTGAAAAGAAATAAAGCCAACATAAAAGAGCTGTCTCAAGAGTTTCATATTTTTCATCTTAATTAATCGCCTAGAATAAAAACGAACTCATTTTGTAGATTCAGCAGGTACTACAATTAAAAATCTGATCTCAAATGCTGCTCTAGGAAGTACAAAAAAGTCAACAAAATTGCTGTCAATACGCAAAACAAAAATTAATGGAAGGGTCATAAAATAAATAAACGCGCTTCTGGCTTACTGGTATGTCAAGTAATAATTTACTTGGCTAAGAGCCCTAAAAATGTCACATTTTCCCTCAAAGCTTTGCTCCTGGGTCAAATACTCATTTTTTGGACAATGTCTCTGTGGCGTACATCATCAGCCGATACACCAGCCACCTGAAGGAGTTTAATTATTGTACCCCTATCAACCTAAGCAGCCTCTCTCCCAACTCTGGCCTGGGTAAGAGCTCAAACCATAGCCACCCATCATTTACTAATCAAGGTCAAACAAGAGTGTCCCTTTGACAGTTAATAAAAAAAAAAACAACAACACTATTATCCATATAATTTAAATCCATCAATTTTCCTGCACCACTAAATACACCTATTAAAGACACTGACTCACTGACTAAAATACCAAGTACAATTTTCTACTAAAATCATTTTATCCTCCCTGTTTTACCATTACCTATGCTATGGAAAGTTATAGAAAGTTTTGTTTTTATTGAGAATTGAAATTTAATCATTTGTCCCAAGATGTAAGAGTCAAGCTAATCAACTGTGTATTGATTGTGATGTTGCAACTGCTATACCTCGTCAGGTAAGGAAGTTGAAAGTTAATGTGTGGCTATTTGTAACACCTGGTTATTGTTAGTGTTTTGGTGCACTGTCATTG